GCTCCAGCGGCGGAGGCAGCGGCTGCTCTGTGAGGTGTCCCGAGCCTCGGCCCCGGGCTGTCGGCCGTCACTGAGATACCCCCCAGGGCCCTCCCCTCCTGCTCTTTCACCAGCGGGGAGCCGTGTCACTCAGGCTGCCTGCCGGGGCTCCTCGCACTGGCTGGGGGCAGGCTGACTCTCCTCTGCCAGGGAGGAGTGGGAGTGGCTACAAAACCTGGCCAGTTTGGAGGAGCCAACTCCCACAGAGGCAGAGGCAGAGACTTTCCAGAATCCCTTGAATCGGGAGCTGCCAGGGGCCATTAAGGAGCTGATGAACCTGGTCAACATCCCCCTGCAAGAGGTAGGAGTGCGAGCTGAGCGTGTGGGAGGAGTGGTGGCTGGCTTGTGCCATGGCAGACTGGCCCCTCAGCCCCTGGTGGCTGGACTGGGCCCTTTGCTGGTTAACGTGTCCATTCTGTTCCCTTGCCCACAATGGGGCTCCCTGCCTACACGCATGTACCACCCGGCTCTGCCTGAGGCGCCTCACTGCAGTGACAGGAGCCGTCTTCCCCTCGCCACCCTGGGCCACCCTGAGAATTGATCCCTCCCCCCTGTTTCCAGCCCAGGTCCTGGCTCAGCACCCCTAGGGGCACTGTGAGCAGCCTGCTGGAGGCTGAGGCCTTGGCAGGGGTGGGCCGAGGGCCTCTTGCTCTGGGGTTTCTGCCCTACTGAAGTTGACTGGTCTTAGCAGCACAGGGGTTCCCAGCGGAGTGAGGGGGCCACGCTGCCCCGATGAGAAAGGCTGTGGCATGGTGGTACCGCCGTGGGGCCTGGGGAGACGGGGGGATGCTAATGATCTCCCGTCAGCGGGGAGCCCTCTTGGGAAGCAGTGACACTCGCAGCCCACGCCCGCCACGCCTTGGGGCTTTCCTGCCTCCCTTGCAGCGTGGCCATGGCTGGGCGTGGCCTGGTTCCGCTGGCGGCAGTAACGCCCGCTCCCTGCTTTTCTCGCTGAACGCTGCAGGCTCGAGATTTCCGTCTATACAGCCAGGAGGTGCTAGACTTCGGGGGACAGGTCTCCTTTCTCCTGCTGCTCCCTCCCTCGGACGATGTGTGCACTGCCCCCGGGCAGAACAACCCCTACACCCCCTGCTCCGGCTTCCTCACGCTGCCGCTCCAGATCTTTGAGCTAGGTGAGAAGGGCCGGAGAGGCAGCCCAGCCTCCTCCCACCTTGGGGCTGGCTGCAGCTTGCGCCTACTGCCAGGGAACTCCTGCCTCTTGGCCTCTTCCTGCCTGCCTTCTCCACGAGACCGCCGGTTCCCTGTGCCCTGCTAGGCAGTGCCTCCTCGCCCTGCAAAGCCGGGACGGAGGAGTGAGCCCTCCAGGGGTTCAGAGCGTCTCCTTGGTGCTGGGCACCCCGCAGGCAGGCAGCAGCGAGCCCCCCAGCAAGGGCTTTGGCGTTCCTGGGAGGGGGGCGGTCACAGCCTGGCGGGGGAAGGAGGATGTGCAGGAGGGGTTCTCGTGGGGGGGGGGTCATCTGGGGGCTTTGAACAGGGGTGCTGACCCGAGCCCCTGGGAGAGGTGGGTCTCTCTGGGGACTGGCCTTGGCCTCTCCTGAGTGGCAACATGGGGACAACTCCTCCTCTGGCTCCAGGCAACAAAGCGGGGCTGGAAGCCAGGCCCGGGGCCGGCTGCTGTTGGTCCAAACCTGCTTCTGCCCCCTCTGCTTCGGGGTGAGGCGGCCGCTGTGGGAGGCCTTTGGGGGTGGGGAGGTTGTTGTGGGAGGCCTTTGGGTGTGGGGAGGTTGCTGTGGGAGGCCTTTGGGTGTGGGGAGGTTGTTGTGGGAGGCCTTTGGGTGTGGGGAGGTTGCTGTGGGAGGCCTTTGGGTGTGGGGAGGTTGTTGTGGGAGGCCTTTGGGTGTGGGGAGGTTGCTGTGGGAGGCCTTTGGGTGTGGGGAGGTTGTTGTGGGAGGCCTTTGGGTGTGGGGAGGTTGCTGTGGGAGGCCTTTGGGTGTGGGGAGGTTGTTGTGGGAGGCCTTTGGGTGTGGGGAGGTTGCTGTGGGAGGCCTTTGGGTGTGGGGAGGTTGTTGTGGGAGGCCTTTGGGTGTGGGGAGGTTGCTGTGGGAGGCCTTTGGGTGTGGGGAGGTTGTTGTGGGAGGCCTTTGGGTGTGGGGAGGTTGCTGTGGGAGGCCTTTGGGTGTGGGGAGGTTGTTGTGGGAGGCCTTTGGGTGTGGGGAGGTTGCTGTGGGAGGCCTTTGGGTGTGGGGAGGTTGTTGTGGGAGGCCTTTGGGTGTGGGGAGGTTGCTGTGGGAGGCCTTTGGGTGTGGGGAGGTTGTTGTGGGAGGCCTTTGGGTGTGGGGAGGTTGCTGTGGGAGGCCTTTGGGTGTGGGGAGGTTGTTGTGGGAGGCCTTTGGGTGTGGGGAGGTTGCTGTGGGAGGCCTTTGGGTGTGGGGAGGTTGCTGTGGGAGGCCTTTCCAGGTGCCCAGGCCACTGCCCACACGAGCTCGCTCACCCTGCACTGCAGAGAGCAGTCATTGCGGCTCACTGGGATCCCACCCCTCCCCGGTCTGCACTTGGCATTCCTCCCCGCCTCGTGACAGCTCACGGGGGTCACTTCCGTGAGGTAACCTCTGTCCCTCCTGTGGCCAAGCGAGCGGTGATAGTGAAAGATGGGCCCGGGGCGGTGCCCCTCCGGCCGTGCTGGAGGCCATGCCGGCCCGTGTGCAGTGCTGTCCTCGGGGCCCTGGCTGTACGTCGGCAGCTTCGGCCCTTCGCAGCACCAGCCGCTCCGGTCACCGGCCCGTCCCTCTCACCTTGCTTCTCCAGTTCACTTCTTCGCCTACGACCGAGAGTTCATCAGCCAGTACTGCCAGGTGTCGGCGCTGCTGGAGCTGGAGTCTCTTCTCTCCCAGCAGAGCCTGCGGGAGGCCTTCTCGGACGCCGAGCTCGCCACGGCTAAGCAGCGGCACCAGCAAGTGCAGGACTACATCCAGGTGAGGGGCAGGAGAGGGCGTGGAGGGTGGGACCTGCGCAGGGCCAGGCTGCCTTCCATGCGGCCCACTGCCCGTACGTGCATCGGCCCGCTGTGGGCGGGGCTGTCCCCTGCCAGTACCTCAGCCACAGCCCACAGGCCGGCGCCACACGCACGACTCCGAGGTGCTGGGGGCCCCTCGTGTCCGAGCTGCACGGGGAGGGTCTCACCTTTCAGAGCGGCGCCAGGCAGTTCCCAGGGGCTGTTCGGCCCCAGAGGGGCTGTGGCTCATGCGACACGGGGCCGTGCTCTGGGAAGCGTCTCCCCTCGGGGATGTTCCCGGCCCCTGCGGGCCAGGGGAGAAACAGCTGCTGTCTCTCGCCCTGCCAGCAAATGGAGGAGATCTGGCGTGAGGTGCGCTGGATGATGGACGCTTTGCAGCACGCCCGGTACAAGCAGCCGTCGCGAATCTGGCAATGTCCTGAAGGAGAAAACCCGGTCCACATCGTCCCACCTGGACTACCTCCCCTCGCCTGCCCCGTCTCCAGAAACCAGCCGCAAGCTCAACTCTGGTGAGGGCCTGGTACCTCAGGAAGCACCGCGCGTCTCCCCAGACTGTACGCACTGCGGGCATGAAGCCTGACCGCAGCGTCGTCGTGGCAACCCAGCCCCCTTACGGTTGTGACTAGGAGAATGGCTCTGTAATGACGGTGTTTGGCTAGTCCGCCTGTGCTCTGTAGCCGGGGCCCTCAAGGGCTCCCTGTGGCCCGGCCCCGCTGTGCTAGGCACATGCGCAGAAAGACGGGCGCTGCCTCAGGCAGCTGCCATGTCAGCCCCGACGCCCCTGGGATCTGGACACTAAGCCTGGGTGCGCCCTGGCTCTGGTACCGCCAGCAGGGAGGGGGCTCGGGGAGCGGGGCTGGAAGCAGCACGTGGCAGCACAGCTGCCTTTGGACTCAGGGCCGGACTAACTCCAGGTCGCCGCTGGCTGGGCCTGGTCCTCGGCCTTGGTGAAGGGGCTCTGGGGACCAGGGCAGGTGAGAACCAGGCACCCCTGAGGGCGCGGCCCTGGGCAAGGGGGAGACCATGAGAGCTCAGCCACAGGGCTTCGTGGTGTGGCTCGTTGGCTAGACGCCAAGGAGGCGGGTTCCTCAGGAAGTACCATTTTCCGGCAGCTCTGGGGCGCGGGGAAAGGCCCCAGGCTGGGTGTCCCCGCCCCTGCTGCGGGGCTCAGATTTCCACTCTGGCCTCAGGCTTTCACCAGCAAGTGTCAGTAAAAAGCCCCCGCGAGGCTCCAGACTCGCTTGTGGCCCTGGAGCCGGCGTCCCCGAGGGAGAGGCACAAATATCTCGGCCCGCAGTAGGGCAGGGGCGGCCTCCAGCTCAGCTGCCTGGACGCTCCGTCGCGCTCGACCTCTCCCCAGGGCTGCGGCGCTCCCCAGAGATATGGTGACCCCTCTGCCTTTTCCCTCCCAGCAGACTCCCACGGGATCTCGGACGAGGAGGGCTCGGAGGTGTTCCTGGCTACAGACAGCGACTATGATTCCAGCAGGGCCCAGAGCCCCAAGGAGCTGGACCTGGTGTACTCCTCGGGCCCCGAGCGCTGTGGCAGGAAAATGGCCCGCACCTTGAGGGACAGCGCCCCGGACGTCCTGCAGAGCCATGAACTCAAAGCCCCCCCGCTGCTCCCGGAGGAGCCCCGGCCACCCCCCGAGCTGTATGACAGCGACTTCGTCCTCCCCAGCCGGCAGATCGAGCTGCTCCGCATCACAGAGAAGCGTCAGGCCTACTGCGTCCGCACCAGCAGCTTGGATTTCCCCAAGCCCTTCTTCCCGGTGGCCAGGAAGTCCTGTCCTGGCTCTGTTGACAGCTCCCCGACAGAAGGCAAACCGGCAGGCCAGGGCAACCTGCTGCGGCTGGGGGACTGGCCCCCCCCCCCCCC